GGTGTTAATATGTTTAAACGTGGCACAAGTTCATGGAAAAAAGTTATGAAAGATGTTGGTAAAACATCAAAAACTGATGATCATTTGAAATGTACCATATCAGAAAATAATATCTTAAAAAATGATCGTTCTAAAATAAATTTAAATAGCAAAAGTTTGAAATTGAAATCTTCTAATTTGGAACAACAGTCTTCTCTGGTAAACAAATATACAATTCCAAAGGTAAACACACGTAATAAACCTGTTGTAACAATTAATCAAGAAAAATCCAAACCTAAGCAAGTAGAAAAGGATCGAAACAAAACAAAATTTTTGCGATCTAACTCTGCAGATTCTTCATCAGTTTTACATAATAAAAGTACGCAGAAAAATATTAAAGTTTCAGATGCAGATAGTACAGTTAAAGTAAAACAAACTCCAAGATTGTACTCTTCTTTCTCCAAAGAAGAAAAAGTACTTAGTCAAAAGAATAGTGCATCCAAAAAAATGGTTACTACAGTCGTAGGTAATATCGGATCAGAAATTATAATTAAAAAAGAAAAAATTCTATTTTTTGATATTCCTATACACACTAAACAAAAAAAGATTACGTGTCCAATACCTTTCAGTTTTGAAAATCGCGATAAAATGAAAAAGCAATTAAAGCTAGATCAATCAGAATCCAAATCAAAGTCAGTCCCTAATCTAAAATTATTAGATTTTAACAAATCTCAAAGAGTTATGAATAAATTACCAAATACAAAGAAAAACACATTTAAGAGTTTTTCTAGTAACACAAATATTAACGAAAAAATGAAAGATACTAAACAATTAGAAAGAAGTAAAAGTACTAGTACAGCTTACTTGCATTCGTCACTTCCATATAAACCAATGAAGACTATTAATTCAATGAAAGATAAAATCGAGAAAAAGAAAATTCCAGATAGTCAGAATAAAAAGGATGCAAATCAGATTAAAAAACCACTAGCACCTATTTCTTGTAAAAATATTCAAATTAATACAAATTTAAGAAATAACAAACAGGAAACATTAAAAATAAATAAAAAATGTATCGAGAAAGAAAATAAGCAACCTAATATTGATACGTTTGTTACAAATACTAGTACTTTAAATCAAAGCAAAGTAATCAAGTCAAAATCTTCTGTAGTTAAAACAAATATAGAAAGGAAAGAAAAGCAACGACATGTACTGGAAGAAAAGATAAAGGAAAAGAGAACTTTACTAGAAGAAAAACTTAAAAAAGAAAAAGAAGAAAAGGAAGCTAAGGAAAAAATGGAAATAGCAAAACTCCGAAAGCAAACTGAAATAAAAGCTCGACCAATGCCGGTATATAAACCACTTATTCGTATAAAGTCTACAAAACCTTTAACCAAACCACAAAGTCCAGCATGGTCAAATAAGAAAAAGTAAGAAAATCAACTTTGTAGATTTTTTACATAATCGTATGTATTAACCATTTATAATTTATTATTCATTTGGGGATTAAAACAATTTTTTTGTAAAAATGTAATTATGTAAAAGAAATAACAAACGAATAATGCGTAAGATTTTTGATCAATAAGTTCTTCATATATATTATATAAGTATATATATATATTAGTCTTTATCATTTTTATATAAATTCGTAGTATATGTCTAATAAATTACTTATTTGTTTGCGTTTTGCGACACATTATTTCTTCGTCGGACGGACGAACAAAAGCAGTTATATCCATAAATTTGTCAAATGGACATAACACTTGACAATCAGGAATTTGAAGTTCTACCACTTTTGGTGGAATGCCTGTATAATATAATACCTAAAAATAACATTAATAAGTTTAGATTAATCAGATAAATTGAAAAGTAAAATGAATATTGTACTGAGATATAAGATATTTTAGTCTTATTATTTTTTAATTACACACCTTAACATAGTAAGTTTGATTAGTTTGAAGTAATTCTAATATAATGGCACTGGAAAATTGTGGAATATGTGGTTTATACACATTTAAAACATTTAACATGCTATTAATATTTGTTTCATGACCACTGTATAAGTAGATCTTTTTTTCTTTTAGTTTTCCATTTTTAGAAGCTAACATATTTTCTACCATTTTTGTTAACAATGGACCTAGAATATAAATCAATATAAATTTGTATTAATCTTCAAATTTACTTTTATATCAATTATGTATGTTTATATACCTCCAGAAAGTCTTTTTAATTTAGTATTTAAATTAGCAACTTCGAAAGCATAAATGATGCCATCTTTGAGTTGGCCATCTGGAAATACAGAGAGGGCCCATCCAGGCAAGGGAAGATCCATCATCCATTCTGCCATAATAATATTATATAAAGAATACATATCTAAAGGATTACTTATTTGTTTTCCAGTCCATTTGGTTAGATTGGCATTCATTTCACTAAATTCAGTCATCTTCTGTATAACTTCAGGTGTTTTTAAAACTCTTTGATATTCCTCTGAATATCTATAAATAATCAAATGTAATATTTTATAAAAATTAATTGCAAATTTGTTTGCATAAAAGTTTACATTTGTTAAACATACAAAGGACAATCCATTGATAATAAGATATTATCTTCAATCCTTGGAACATATGTATAAGGGATTGGTTGCCAATTGATATTAGTGCTCCATTTTTGAATATTTATAGGTGGAAACAATCCAGCAAGAACAAGTTCTAAAGACATTTTTGTTCTAGAATAATCCGTAGTACGAGCTGTTATTAGCTCTGGTGTATAAATTTTACTCAAGAAGTTTCCATATCTGGATCTGAGAAATTTGCCTAGCTCATAAGCACGTTTTTTACCTTTCTGAAATATATAAAAAAGATTTATATATTTTTAATAATTTATTTTTTAAAATACCATGTAGTTATTAAATAGATCTATAAACATTTGTCAATTCTCCAAAACCCATTGGATAAAAATCATATGTTTTGTATGGATCATATGGATATAATTCTTTATTCGGGGTTCTATCTCCATGTCTAAATATCTGTAAAAATAATTAAAAAGGTATATATAACTTGTACTCTTTTGTAATACAAAAAAATAAAATTAAGAAAGAAAAATGGTTTCCTTTAAAATGTTTTCTTACCACATTCACCAACTTAATTTCTGTTTCCTCTGCGCTGTCAGATATTGCTACAATTATTAAAATATTAATAATAATAATATTAATAAAATAAAACAAATTTCTTATTAGGTTCATATTTAGATCGTACAATTGCGTTTATGTTAATTCTATTGTACTAAGTCAATCTATCGATTTGAGAAACCAGTTCTATTAGAAAAACATCATTTAAATATAAAAGACTGGATTCCATAAGCTTGCTGATATATATTATTAAATACTATTATACAATCTAATCACTAGATTTGATGATAATCGAAATAAGCATTTTTTATTGAGACATCTTATATCTACTACTCAAAGATACGTAAAGATATTTTCACAATAAATTTTTTGAATCCTACTATTTTATTGGACGACAATATCTGTCAGGTGTAGTAACTATTTAAATCATTATTAGGCGTATAAAGATTGTTTAAAGAATTATGTTAAATAGTATAATAATTTATTTCTACAAAATTTTATTAAATATTTGAATTTATATATTTAAAATTGTGCAAATAAATTCTCGTAGAACTTGAAGTTTTGTTAAGATTGGTAGCCCTGTGAGTATCTTTGTTACCGCGTCTGTGCATAAGCTACCGCACAGTAAACTATTGTTTTAAAATCCGACGGTTTAAGAAACTTAAGTTCTATATTTATTTGAAAGTTCTTCATGAAATCATATGTAAAAGTATCAAAACAATGGATAAAATTCTCGACGACACTGCTGCCATACTGCATTACTTTGATACGTGAGTAGATATAGTTTTTCAATTATTTTATTATGTCAACATTTATTGTATGAATGTGTGTAGTCTTGTTTCTTTTTCAAGTAATATGTGACATTTAAATTTAATAAAACTATTTGTTGCATATGTAATATATGTGACATTAATTAGAAAACAGGAAAGTATGTTATATTATTGAAAAATATACAACAATAAATTATTTTTTAGGGTAATAAAATTGTTAGATAAAAAATATTTGTTTATATATTATAAAAAAAGAAGTGAAAGATAAAGAAAGCATGTTATGCTTAGAAGATTAAAAAATATTTTCTATACGCTGACAATTTTATTTAATATATAAATATATTTGTGTGACCGATATAAAAACTTAAAATTGACACATACATTATTACTCGCTTACAAGGTCTCTTCTGTAGCTAATAAATCTTGAATTCATTGATCGCTTACATTAAAGCTTGTTATCAATCTTGAAAAGGTTATAGGTCAGTCTTCGTTACAGTGATTTTTTAATCTATTCTATATATGTCAATTGAATTTTTATTGAAACCATTTTTTATAATATGCTACTCTTCTTTCAATAAATATTAATAATAACTTGTGTAATTCCAAACAACGCTTTACAAACTCTTATTAATTTCCACAAATTCTCTTCGCATACTGGTTTCTACTTGTTGCTATTAAAATATAGATATGATCCTCTGAACGATATTAATATCTTTAAGCGAATAGTGTTTATAAGTTAGACCATAATTTTATTTGGAATTATTGTTTTATCATTTCTTTTTTTGTTGTTGTTATTTTATTTCTAATTCAAGAGATTCCTTCTAAGGAGTTTTATTCTTCTCTCTCTCTCTCTCTCAATTTCTTTTTCTCTTTTTTTCTTTCTTT